ATTACTGGTGGATTTTGTAGCTTTTTATTTTTTGGGAAAGAACCCTACATACCTGGCGCCTTTAAAAAGCTGTTTTATGGCCCTAGGCGAGGATGAAGGGTGAAGAGGAGCCCCACGTACCTTTGTTCTGCAAGACAAGCTCAATGTACTAGGTCAGTAAAATGCCTGATTAATAATGCAATGTCATAAACATTAATGGCAAAAGCTCATTGTTGTGGTGGTAATTATGTAACTGTGATGCAACACTGTGACCAAAGACATTCAAGCAGTTTGAAATATATTCCTGGGTACTATTGTGTTGCCTCAGTAAGAATATTCTAGCTTTGAAAGTCAAGAGTGTTTTTGCTATAATTGCGGCTGCAGCCACCATTTTTTTCAAATTCAAAGACTCTTTGAAGTTATATTAGAAATATTTATGCTTATTTTTCCCCTCCTAAGATAACGCTTTGTCTTTAAAGCAAGCCTACAAACATTTTAGCTGATTATGTCATCTCCTTTACTTCAAATGTGACTATACTGTCTGGAATTTGGCACCTTCCATTTTGTGTTTTTCTAGGCCAGATTCACACTGATGTTACCAGGAGCAACTCTATTGACTTCCGCAAGGTTTTACTCAATTACACCGTGTAAACGACAGGACACTGAAAATAGCCCAAGAAACCAGATTTTCAAAATAATCAACTGATGTTTTCTGAAAAGAAAAAAAAAAAGAGAAAAGAAAAAAGAAAAATACAGCTATCCTGCAAGCAGCACCCCTATCCTATAATGGTAAAACAGGCTAACTGTAACTGTGGAGAGTGATACAGGCAGAAAGGATTGCTTTCGTTTCTCTGTTTGTTTTTATTTCCTCAAGTGAAGAAAGTTCCTATTGTTGTCTGTTTTGAAACTGATAGAAAATGCTGAGTGAAATGACTAAAAGTTGAATTGCTGGAAATATCTATGAGATGAGTTCTGGAAGTCTTACATATTCCCCTCCGTAGACCATGCCACCCTTAGTGAGGGAGCACAGGACTACTGCAATGGAAAAACTTAGCAGTTGTGTCCTCCCAGACTCTCCCTTTTCTTGGGAACTCAGAGGAACATCCTTGTGGAGACACTTTGGGAAGTGTCTCTCCACTTTGCTTGTTTTCCTACCCTCCTTACGTACAAGCCAGCCCCATAATTATACCTCTGCCGACCACGGATGTTTCTGAGAAATGATTCCTCACTCAGGCTATCCAAAACACCAGAGGGCAGCAGAAGTGTTAAAGCAGGCATTGCAAAAGCATCGCCTTTCCTTGCACTAGCGTCTCTAGGATGGTAAAATGGGCTCACGTAACAGGTTCATAGTGCCTAGACAGTATCGATTCATAGCAAAAGTGGAAGAAAAACAACTTAATTATGATGCTAGCAAAACTGTGCAACTTCTGAGCAGCACCAACGGAAACTGTCGTGACCGTTATGCATGAAAATAGAAGTTAAATACTGAAAGGCTGCTGAGTGTGATAGATGCAGGACGTCTTTATTTCTCAATGAATCATACATCAGCATGATTACTCTTGAAAACCATATGTACCCCCGTTCCACTGCAGAAGCTCCGTGTACCCCGTCCTCTGGGCTAGGGACTGCAGATCCACTTAAATACCTTCTGCAGACAGGAACGATTCCCGTTTTTCTTGCCTCTTTCATCTAATGCAGATAATTTAAACCCTGGATTCTCTTCAGTGTAACCCTCTGATGCAGTGTTACAGTCTCCAGGCCGTCCCATGGCACAGGTGACTGCTGCGCCTTAGAGCACCAAATCCCCGGTCGCTTCTTCCCATTTGGGAGGAAGAAAAATCATGAGTCTTTTAAAAAGAAAAAAAAAGTTACTTTCCTACCTGGGGCTGTCCTTCTTGTGTGTTCTTTCTAAAAAGACTGGTTCTGTTTGCCAGACTAAAACACTTAATCAATTTGAAATGAAAACAGCAACTATAATTAAAGGGAGCAAAATCCCACCACAGCAGAGGAACCATTATTAAGGTAATTTTTTCTTTATAACTCCTGGGGCACTGTTCACATGCAGTTGCTACTATATATGCTGTTTGTGCGTCACCTCCTCTTCATAAGCTCCATGGAGAATACACTGTTAGCTTAATAATAATAAGTCAGCTTTTTGTGTGAGTTATACCAAGCACCATGTAAGTGCTAATTGAATGTTGCAATAGCCTGTTCTATGCTATTCCCTCCTCCCATAGAACGGCACAGCAGCCCCGTGACCTGCCTGGGTCATACTATTGCCTTCACGTTAGCAGCTCCTTCCTCACACTGCTGGACAACAGCTCAGCAAGCCACAGGTCTCTCCCACCTCCATTTCAAGCCCTGCAGGTGCTCAGACGTTACGTCTCCATGCTTCTAGATGAAGGAGCCTGCAGCACAACTGGCCTCTCAAAGGGCTAGCACCCAGGTAGCTGTAGGTAATGAAAGCAATATAGAATCATAGAATCAAAAATGTTGGAAACCACCATGCCTGCAAACCTCAGTGCCACATCCACACAGCTCTTGAACACCTCCAGGGACGATGACTCCACACCTCCCTGGGCAGCCTGTGCCACTTCCTCAACACTCCTTTTGAGAAGAAGCTATTCCTAATATCTAATCTTAAACTTCTCTTGGTGCAACCCGAGGCCATTCCCTCTCATCCTATCAGTGTTACCTGGGAGGAGACACCATCTCCCACCTCACCACAGCCTCCTTTCGGGTTGTTGTAGAGAGCAATAATGTCTCCCCTGAGCCTCTTCTTTTCCATACTGAACAATCCCAGTTCCTTCAGCTGCTCCCTATCAGATTTGTGCTCCAGATCCCTCAGTGCTTCATTGCCCTTCTCTGGACATACTGCAGGGCCTCTACGTCATTCTTGTAGTGAGGGGCCCAAAACTGAAAACAGTACTTGAAGTTCTTCCTCACTGGTGCTGCATACATATACATAATTCATTAGAAAAGAGAAGCAGACAAAATCCTGTTTGCTTCACTAAAACGTCCTGCTGGATCTCTCCCATGGATGTTTATGACATGCAGCTCACCATCACATTTTTCTCCCTGGATTTTCATAGTGTAAATTAAAAACAAAACAAAACAAAATAAACCCATAAATAAAACCTGACGATAAATTTATTTTTGTCCTCCAGGTGAGTCCCTCCTGAGCTCTCTATACATCACTCATGGAGTGGAGAACCATCATCTCTCCATCTCTCATCACGAGTTCCAGAAAATCATCAGCTAGAGGTGAAAACCATCATGTTGATTGCAGCCATGCTGTGCATCTCTTTATTTCAAGAAGCCTGACAGATCCAGTTGCCTCTGGATGGAAGACTGGCATACTTGTCCTGAATGCCACTGAGGGTGGTGATCAGACAAAGACTTCAGACCAAGACAAACTATATCCTGGCCAGGAGACCACAGAATTATAGAGTCACTAAGGTTGAAAAAGGTTGGAAAAGACCTCTAAGATCATCTATCCAACCTATCACCATTATGTCCGCTCATAGTCATGGAATCATTAAGGTCAGAAAAGACCTCCAAGCTCATCAAGTCCAGGTGGCATTGGGAGCCCCTAGTGAATGCACCAGGATGGAGTGCAGAGAAGACAGTATGGTCCAGTCACCAGCTGGAGCACTACTTCTCTAAGAACAACCTAGGCTGACTCTCACCAAGATTAAGTTGAATAACAGATGTTATCAACGTCTGTTGATCAGGCAGGCACCACTCAAGACTTATTTTCAGGGTGAAGCTGGAATATGAGTGGTAATGTACAAAGTTTGGTCACTATGCGTGTGCAGAGAGAACGTCTACTTGCTCTAACAGAGTGTATCTGCCACTCAGCGCCTGGCAATGGACCTTGAGGGGAATGTCTTTGGATGTCCAGTTTTAACCTTGAACAGCCTCAGCGTGCAGAAGAAATCACTTCCCAAGTTTTGTTCCTAGATGACAGCCCTGCTGGTGTATCAGATCACAGAACCATTACAGCTGGCAAGTTCTTGAAGACCATCCAGTCCAACTGTCAGCCCGTGCTTGTGAGCGCTCCGAGCCGCGTCACTCAGTGCCACATCTATCCTGAAAGCCACCAGGGACGGTGACTCCGCCACCTCCCTGGGCAGCCCGCGCCGATAATCGGCCAGAGGACTGCAGGCGGAGGGGCTCTTTGTTTCATTTCATCCTCCGTGCTGGTGCCCAGCCGGGGGACCCACATTTTTCCCAGAAAAATTCCCAGATTTTTCCCAGAGAGCCGCGGACGGCAACCCCGTGAGTCCCGGTCCCCAGACGGGGCGCCGCCTCCGTCGAGCTCCGGGCACGGCATCGCGGGCGCGGAGGGGAGGCGCTGAGGGGAGGCGGTTAACGGCTGCCGAGGCGCGCGCCGGCAGGGGGCGACCCCGGCGGGAGACGGGAGGGCGTCACGTGAGCGCAGAGAGTCGTTTCCCCCCTCCTCCCCCCCCTCGGGCGGGGACGGGGTGGGGGTGCGGGAGACCCAGGTGCCCCCTCCCTGCCTCCCTCCGCCCTGACGTCACCGCCCCCCCGTCGCCCGGGCGACGGCTCCATCAGCGCGCGCGTCAGCGCCGCCCGTTCCTTGGCAACGGCGCGGTGTCTCGCTCTCCTTCAGCCTCGCGCCTGGGCGCGCGTCTCTCTGGCGTCAAAGTGACGTCAATGGGCCCCGCTCTCGGCTTTCGGCGGTGGGCGGGGCCCCGCGCGGCGGAGAGAGGGGCGGAGGGGCGGGGGGACGTCCCGCGTGCTCCCGCCCGCCCGCCCCCCGGCGCACACTCCCTCCTCCCTCTCTCCTTCCCTCCCTCCTTCACTCACTCGCTCACTCACTCGCTCGCTCACACCCCGCCACCGGCGTCGCGGCGGCGACAGAGAGCCCGCCAGGTAGAGGCGGTTGCGGAGCGGCCGCCCGAGGCCGAAGGGGAAGAGCTGGGCTCCGGGGGATCCGCCGCGCCGTCCCCGTGCGAGCTGCGAGCGCCCGGGGGCGGCGCCGATGCTGCCGCCGCCGTGGTGAGTCGCGGCGCGGTGCCCTGTCGCCCGCCGCCCGCTTGAACCATGGTGATCATGTCAGAGTACGCCTCAGTGCCGGCTTCCAGCGCAGCCCAGCCGCGGCCCCTGCGGGTCGGCTTCTACGATATCGAGAGGACCTTGGGGAAAGGCAATTTCGCCGTGGTGAAGCTGGCCCGCCACAGGGTGACCAAGACCCAGGTGGGTACGGGGCCGAGCTGGAGGGTTTCTCTCCGCTTTACCTGTAGATGTAGCGTAGAAATAAAGCGGAGCCCGCCGTTCGCAGAGCGCTGCCGAGTGCCTCCCTCTCTGCGAGTCCCAGCCGCGGGAACCCTCGCACCCTCTGAAGGCTTTGCACGTGTCAGGAGGGTCCCACGAGGGTGTTGGAGCCCCCGTTGGCTCCCCGCGGGACCACCCCGTCCCGTTGCTTCGCTCCAAGAACAAAGAACTCGCCGTGTTCGTTTGCAGAGCGTTTCCCCGCGGCCGTGCAGCAGCGGTGTGGCACTGCATGTCCCTATCGCCCTCTCCTAGGAAAAAAAAAAAAATAAATACTCCCTTACAAGAACATATTTTTCGCTGGATTAAAAGATTTACCGAATTCCATCCAGCGCTGCCCTTCCGTAGTTCCCTTCGTTGTGTTGCATGCGATTGGAGCAGCTCGGGAAAACGCCATCAGCTTTGGCCAGACCGTATCTGAAGTCCACCTTACGTGTGTTCTGTGAGCCTGTGCGTGGTTTTGCGTGTGGTGTTTTGGGGTCGTGCTCTTTCTCTCCCCATCGTAAGAAGCGTACCTTCTTTGTAATGCCAGCAGCTGTTTGATGTGATTACTATTATTTTTTTTAACCTGCAGGTCGCGATAAAAATAATAGACAAAACAAGGTTAGACCCCAGCAATCTGGAGAAGATTTATAGAGAAGTGCAGATAATGAAGCTTTTGAATCACCCCCACATTATCAAACTCTATCAGGTAAGAGGTCAGCTTTGAAGCACGGCATGCAGATGAGATATGCTGTCCTCTTGCATTTGGCTTTGCATGAAGTGTTTGCAGCGAGAATGCGAACTGAAAGAGTTTTTGGAGACTAAAGTTCATTTAAAGTGGGGGTTTTGTTCGTTTAAAGTTATCATTCTGGTACGCTTGTCAGTTTCTTGACAGAACAGTGAAAAAAGACTTGTGAAAGTGAAAAAAGTTTGTTTCAGATCAAGGAACAGGTTGTCAGAACTTGTAGAGTTAACTTGCCTTCCAAGCTCCTCTTCTGTATGTTTGGAAGACTGGGACTTCTCGCGTGCTTTTGATATGAGGAGGACTTAAACTCTCTAAGGGCAGCAGAGTAGCAGGCACAAAAGCTGGGCTTGCCATAAGTGAAAGCAAATTCAGCAATGAATAAACTCAAAAAGAAAAGACTTGGAAATATCGATATTGTAGAATATATGAGGAAATGACCTGTTTTGGTTTTTCTGTTCCAGTTTGCATAGTTTTGAAAATAAGTTTAAAAGATCTTTTCCTTTGTGGAGTTTCAAGGTGTTGAATTCTGATTTGGATTCATTCAGTTTCTGCGTTTTTGCTTTTGCCTTTTGGAGGGTATTAGAACAGTAAAAGTAAGCTTCTGCACAAACGTGTGGTGCAGCAGGCAGAGTAGCAGCTGCCTAGTGAGTGAGGGCTGCCTTGCAAATTTGGAGTCTTTGATCCAATTAGCGTTTGGTGTATGTTCCTCTTAATCATCTTAAATAACGCCATGCGGATTTAAGAAGATGAGGCATCACGGTCTTTCTGCACCTGGCCAGAAGGACAGAGGGGGAGAGGAATGGATTAAGAAATGAAGCAGCAGGTCTGAAATTGTGTGCGCTGTTGTACGCACAACTGTCAAGCTGTTATCTTACCGTTGGGTTGGTTGGCTTAATTAACATTCTCCTTGCTTGAAACGTGTAAGGCTGAGGAGCCTGTAGAACAGGTGTTTAGGCAAGGCATTGTTTTTCAACACCTTGACACGCGTGAATTGCTTTGCTGTTTACAGTATTAAACCATCCGAACAAAAATGATTTTTGCGTTACCTTCTGACGTCATTGCTGCCCATAGGATATACCAAAACATTCTAACAGTTCTGTTGATTTCATTTCGGTGGAATGATGTGGGTGAAAATACTGTTTGGAAGCTGTTAGAAAAGCAGGTTAAATTCCATCTAGTTGAACCACTTCACTTGATTGAGCAAATGACATTGGTAGTGGACCATAATTTCTTTTCAGCAAAGTTTTCTTCTCTTTGTTGCTGTAACTGATGCTTTACCTGTTTGGTGGAGGCTGAGAAGCAGGGATGGAATTAGATGACATACCAACGTAGGGTGTGTGTTCTTGTATTATTTCATCATTGTTTTAGTTTCAGCACGGCGTCTTAATTTCATCCAGCTGGCATTTATCCCAGAACACTTTCCTTCGGTTTTTCAAACTGGGAACCTCTCTTCCTTTGCTCCCTTCTTGTTTGTTTTCATTTTGTGTCTGTGTGTACTTGTAGAGGGAAGGACAAGAGTATCCAAAAAAGGTTATGTGTTAGGAAGCTGGAAATTGCAGCCTTTGAAGTAGTATCGACTCTTGTTTGATCGTTAATATGTTGCGAGCCTCCTGCTTCCCAAACAAAATACTGATTCCCTGTGAGTCCTATTCCAGGGAAAGGTTGCATTTCTGAAAGCTGAAATGTGACATTTAAGAGATGTGGCTTAGTAAATGAAGATGAATTCCAAAATGCTCCGTTTTGTTTGGGTTTAGTTTTGCTTTTTTTTTTTTTTTTTTTTTTTTTTTTCTCCTCCAAAGATGTGTCAACTTCCTCTGACAATTACTGTTTTGCATGGTTTTGCACAGGGTTGGTAGTTGAATGTTGAACAGCCCAGTGATAGCTGTTGATGTGCCTCAAGCACTGCAGTAACACCAACAACTACCTTTTTTCACTCGCATGGGAGGCTTGCTGTGCCCCCAGCCAGCACCAAATGGGAGTGGGGTGTTTGGTAACACTTGTTGATTGTCCGAGTTGCAGGTATCTCCTGATCTGAGTGCATGCTAGGTGTGAAACAAAGATGGCTTTAAGTGAGCTTTGTGTCCTTGTGTGTTCAAAATAAGTCCAATGAGTTGGAAACCTGTATATGCATATTTTAACCAAAAAGGGAATTCAGGGAAGTATATAAAATCATGAAATGCTCGTCAGTTATCTTATGGAGATTACGTGGCATCATAATGGTAAGAGGAACAATACCATGGGAAGCCATTGTATGTTGTAGGCACAGAAGCACTGATTGGTTATCTTTTTCATTACCAGTTTGCTGGGAAGAAACATTGCAATGCAAAATTAGATGTCTTTACTGCCAGCTACTGTGGCAGATAAATAACTGAACCAATATATCTGAGAATAGTTTTAGGGAAATGAAAGTAACTGCAGAGGTCTGTGTTTCTTTAAGCATGTCCTCTCGTGTCTTGGCAGGTTATGGAGACAAAGGACATGCTTTACATTGTTACTGAGTTCGCTAAGAATGGAGAAATGTTTGGTAAGTTCTCATGGCGGTACCTCACTTCAGATTTAGAGCTGGTGGCCATGTTGTTGTCATTCCTGAGCAATATCTGTTTGGATTAAAAACCCGGAGTCGCTGTTGACAGCTGTCAAACAGCAAGTGCAGCATCTGGAAGACTACAGAATCATTTTTCAGGTATTTCTAACTCTTGTGACTCTTTTGTCTTGCAGATCATCTGACCTCCAATGGGCACTTGAGCGAAAGCGAAGCGCGGAAGAAGTTCTGGCAGATTCTTTCAGCAGTGGAATACTGTCACAGCCACCACATAGTGCACAGGGATCTCAAAACAGAGAACCTTCTGCTAGATGCTAACATGAATATCAAATTAGCAGGTAATGAGAAATGCCTGGTTACTCTATAAATGGCGTTAGGCATGTGGTCAAATTCAGCCTCCTTAGCATAATCTCATAAATGTATTTGGAGTAACTGAAAGTGAACATTACTGATATTTCTCCGAATATATCCTCTAGACAAAAGAGAATAGCTCAGATAGGTATGCAGAAAGCAAAGCAAAACACCTGCTTCCTTCCCTCTGTTTTCTGCTACTTCTAAACAGTTTGCATGTGGCTGAGTGATGTCTTACACCAGACTTCTACTTTCCTTCCAGACTTTGGCTTTGGAAACTTCTACAAGTCAGGAGAGCCACTCTCCACATGGTGTGGAAGCCCACCCTATGCAGCTCCAGAAGTTTTTGAAGGCAAGGAGTATGAAGGACCTCACCTTGACATATGGGTGAGTGTGATATTCCTTTGGAATTCCGTTTCACACTTTGTTCTGGACTGTGAGCTTTGAAAACCGTTGTTTCTACTGGAATCACTCATACTGTGTGCTGTTCTCTGTTGACAGAGCCTTGGAGTGGTGCTCTATGTCCTTGTCTGTGGTTCTCTGCCTTTTGATGGACCCAATTTACCAACTCTGAGGCAAAGAGTGCTAGAGGGGCGGTTCCGCATCCCATACTTCATGTCTGAAGGTACTTTGTTTTCAGATTGTTAATGTTAGAAAAGGAACTGAGAGTAAAGGAATAGCTGTCCTGTTCTTTCTTGAGGCAGTGTCCAGATGGTTCTGCAGCTGGCAATCACCTTGTCTTTGTGTCCAGTAATTTCTGTAGAGCAGCACTTAAGATCAGGGGCTGATTGTAGGTGGTTTCTTTTTCTGAGGTCTACTTTATGGTGTATCTAAAAAGCTCTCATTTCATTTCTTAAGAGTATTGCTTTAGATTACAAAAATTGAAGCCCTGGCTGTAGAAACAATCACTCACAAAAGAGAGAAAACAAGCTTTTAATGAGACTAGCCTGCAATGCTGAGGTGGGTGTAGTTCTGAGATATTCAAACTATGCAGAAAGGGTACGTTTCAGTGTGGCTTTGCTGCCAAGGAGAGCAGAAATAGTGAAGCTTAGCACTGTTTCTTGAATGCTTGCACTTGGACAGTCCGGTGAGAAAGAGGAGCTGAGAGGTATTATCAGCTCTCTCCGATTAGGATTTGAAAACAAATGAATATGCCTCTCTTCAATGGAATAATATCTTCTAAAGTCTGATCTTGATCAGTTTTAGCTATGTATGACTTTAATTCCCTGGCAGTAAACAAATAAGCAGTATGCTTGGACCAGGAGTTCATATTTTAACATGTACAGTAGTTCTTTGTAAATCCTAACCTATTTCAAGTGGATGTACCATAGTTAAACCTACATCCACTCAAAATTAGCCCCCTTGCAAGGTAGAGGGCAAACTGAAACCTACTTTTAGCCAATACAGTGCCATTTTGTTCAGTGACACGTTGCTTCTATGAAATATGTACTGCCCTTGTGCTGGTTTGGATATTTAGCAGTCAGACTCTGCATCAGCTGTTCAGAAAACTTTTAATTCCTGTTTTCACAGGCATCAAATCCTGGTGGTGGGAAAGTTTCTTAGCAAATGCCTGGGTCTGAACTGGCCTTTTTACTCCTTGCTCATGAGTTTATCTTTGTCATCTAGACTGTGAAACACTAATCCGACGGATGTTAGTCGTAGACCCGACAAAGCGAATAACCATTTCCCAAATAAAGCAGCACAAGTGGATGCAAGCTGACCCAGCCCTTCGACAGCAACAGTCCTTGTCCTTCTCCATGCAAAACTATAACTCCAACCTGGGTGACTACAATGAGCAGGTCCTTGGGATCATGCAAACGCTTGGCATTGACAGGCAGAGAACTGTTGAGGTGAGCAGTGCTTGTCCTTTCACAGTGTTTTCAGTGACTACCAGAATGCCAGTGGTGCAGTCATGTATATTGTTCAGTGACTAGCCTTAATGCAGTTTCACAGTGTAGTAGAATCTTCACTGCCTTTTTGAGTACTCAATTACGAAGTCTTAATAATGAGTTGTGGCTGTGTATCTTGAGTTATGTGTAACTGGGGTTCTTTGTATTCTAGTCTTTACAGAACAGCAGCTACAACCACTTTGCTGCCATTTATTACCTGCTCTTGGAGCGCCTCAAGGAGTATCGAAGCAGCCAGCTATCGAGTCGTCCAGCAAATGGCCGTCAGCAAAGGCCAAGGAGCTCCGAGATCAGCAATGCTGAGGTAAGGAAGGACGTTGTTTACCTGGGAGGGTGTATCTGTGGGCTCTTTTCTGCCACTTTCTATGGCAGAAAAGATGGCAGCTTTGAGGCTTCTGAGAACCGATGGTGTCCTTTGATAGGACAGGCTACTATTCTTCAGCAGGATGCTGATTGATTGAGTACTAACTGTCTGTAGAGCATGATCCAGAGAATAGTTTGCCTCTGGTGCAAGTCAGTAATGAGCCAGATTCTCAGGCTTCTCGTGGAAATTTGCCTTCTCAGGCACGGATCAGTTACTCTTTTGTTATATGCCCTGTAGGATCCTCAGAAATACTCCATGATTCAGTTTGTGTGTTTCTTCTGACTTTTCCTAGCCCCTACCCCCTTTTAATTGTGCTTGGGTGCCTTTTCAAATTGTCCTGGCGGTTTAATAGTCTGACTTAGGAGAAGTACTTTGTGTTTGTGTTGGCACTGAAAGAGTAGCTTTGTTAATTTTGATAGAAAGTGCATGGAGAAGGCTTGCACAGAAGGTGTCTCTAGAATTCCTTGAACCTGCAATATTTGAAGAATCACGTGGAACAGCAGTGTATGTGATGGCTTCTGTGCATCTCTCTCTGCCTTCAGATGCCTCAGGACGGTCTCACTAGTGAAACCCTGCGATCATCTCTGCTTTACCAGCAACCTCAGAGTCTGATTCAACCATCTTTGCAGGCAGAAATGGACTGTGATGTGAACAATCCATTACAGGTGGGTGTTCTAAGCTGAACTGTGTGTAACCGCCTTTTCTGTTGTGGGTTTTCTTGTTTGTTTTTAAATTGTTCTGTTGATCTAAAAAAGATAGAGGTTGTGATAGTTGTTCTCTCCCTTGAATCTTTTGGCACTTGGGCATGGTGTTGTAGTAGCTTCTCAAACAGTACACCTTCTGAGGACACACCACAGGGCTCTGAAGAGCATCAAAACATAGAGAAAATAAATCTCTGAATTGACATGTTTTGCAGCCTGTGTTTTTTCCTGTGGATCCCAACTTCAACGGGCTGTTTCGAAATCGCTCCATCTCCCCCAGCAGCCTTTTGGAGACCACCATTAGTGAAGAAGTGAGGCAAGAGAAGGAGCTGGAAGATGAAATTAAGGCGTACGACCACCCCATCCGCATCCCTAGCAACACCAGCCGGAGGCACACGCTAGCTGAAGTCACTCACTTCTATCAGCATGCCCCTCCATGTAAGTCTGGGAGCAATGACGGTTGTCCTTAGTTAGAGGAAAATGATGGAGAAGGTGTGCCATAGCAGAAAAATTCCTGAGGGTGTGTGCTGATTTTAACTTGACTGAAGTAGGAAAACCCAGAGAAGAGGTCTCTACTCTGCCCCCTCTAGTTCTGACTTCTCATAAATAAGCATGGCCCTTCAGGAGGAGACACAGTACTGTTATATTTCATCTAGATCTTTCAGAGGGGGCATTCTCACAAGCAGGACATAACTCTTCTCTGTTTGTTTCCACTGTTTTACTGTGTGTATGGTGTGTATGCTTGACTTGGGGAAAAAAAAGTCATGGCTAACTGTATCTAACTGTATTGGGTACACATCCAGACCCCTTGAACTAAGTAAGCAAACAAAAATGCTCACAAAAGAAATATCTTATGTTGGAACTTTCGTGCTAGAAAATGTTGCATGTCTGAGAGTTGTTGGCAGAGCTCTGCCAGCTGGGCAGGAGCCCAGCATAGGTTATTTGTCAGTGACCATGTACTGGAGTCAGGCCCTGTGACAGCGTAAGTTGCTGGACATCTCTCTGACTTGCAGCTGCTTATTAGTGCCAGTGTAGGTGGGCAGAATGCTCTGATGTCACGTTTGTTCCTTCCTGTACTCATCTTGGGAATGCTCTTTCTGTCCTTCCTTCCCCTCTGCAGGTATAGTCATTTCCTCCTCAGCAAGCCCCACAGAGGGAACTAGTTCAGACAGCTGCCTTACTTCATCTTCAAATGACAGCTCAGTGGCCCTGAGCAACTGTTTGGCAGGTCAAGTAATGACGGGGAGCCCAGCCACAGCTAGGATGACATCACCCTTCCTAGCTTCTCAGTCTGACGCTCCGGTGTTACAAGCCCAGGGCTGCATGGGAGGTGCTTCTCTCCTGCCTGTCAGCTTCCAAGAAGGAAGACGAGCATCTGATACCTCATTAACTCAAGGTAACTCCTTCCTTGCAATATCCCAGCAATAAAGCACCCTTGTAGTTGCTACTAGAAAAGGGTAGCTTTCTTGCCTGTGTTGGGATTACACTGAGGCCGCCTGGATATTCTGCCTCATGTATTTGTGGTTCCTGAGGAGGGTGCTGAGGTTGGGAGGCTGTCGCATACAGCTTCGGCATGCCCATGAAGATGTTTCTGCTGCTGTGAGTGGGATGGCAAGCTCCACCCTTCTCCTAAAATACGGAATGCTTATCGTGTTTTATAGCAGCTTTGTCCTTTGCTCCGTATATGTCCATCTAAACAAGAGTGCAGCTGTCCCAAACCCTGTTCCATCACATCAATTTTACTCTGTCCATCAGGCAGAGATGCAAACGTGAACTGAAGGGTCACAGTTTCTTCTAGTGCAGTGCTCACGTAAATGAAGGCAGCTGCCCAGAAAGGCTGATCTGTAAAGTAGGCTCTCAGTCAAATGCTAAGAAGGATTAAAGTGCATTTCTTCTCCTCATGTCCCACAGGCTTGAAGGCTTTTAGGCAGCAGCTGCGGAAGAACGCTCGAGCCAAAGGGTTTCTCGGCTTGAATAAAATCAAAGGCTTTGCTCGGCAGGTGTGTCAGTCCTCCTCATCTCGGGCAGCAAGGAGTGCCATGAGCCCTTTCCAACACGCACAGCAGAACACCTGCATCTACAGCAGCAGTGGGAGCAACAGAGAGGGAAGAAACCTTCTGGAGGAAGTGCTACAACAGCAGAGGTGAGAAGCTGACCTGGAGGAGTTTTGCTATTTTCCTTGGGGTTGTTTTGGTTAAGGGCAAAGGAGGAGGAGTAAATGCAGCAAAATGGGTTGGGGAGTTTGGTCACTTTCCTCTCAGCTTTGCTGTGTGGCAGCAGATAAACTGTTTAGCTTTCTTTGTGGGTTCCTGCACTGGCACGTGTAACGTAGGACGTGCGTTTCCGCTTAAAAAGCTCCATGTCCAAGTATTTGGAGGTCACTGGACAGAGAAGCAGTTTGGTGCCGTGGGGGAAAACATTACTTTTCTCCATTGCAAGCTGTGTTTTTCTTTGTTAGGTTTGGGAATTGTTTCTTTCCTCCTCTGCCTCCTGTAATTGTCCCATGGCAAGGAAATGAGACCTTGTAATTTGGAAAAGTTACAGCCCACAAAAGAGGCACAGTCCAGTGGCCTCAAATGTCGTGTGCGATGGCACCTCTTCATTCCCATAGAAGCAAGATGGAAAATAGAGCATCCGGTCTATCTGCATACGTTGTCTATAAAACATCTACTATTAGCTGGCCAAATTATGGCCAGATAAAATTCTAGTGGTAGTTTCCAGCTTCAGTGTGGGGAAAAACCAAGAGAAAACATGCTGATCTGGCATGGCAGTCACTTTAATCGTACTGTCTGGGTAGGGTGAGATTCCTCAGAAAGGAGGAAATGAAGGGGAAAGTTAGAATCGGGAGTAAAGGTAGGGGCGGGAGATAGGAGGAAGGAAAACTTGAAGCCTTTCTAGCATTGCGAGTTAACATCTTCCATCCTTGGACTTTGTTCAGAATACTCCAGCTTCAGCATCACCAGCTACTCCAGCCAGCTTGTCCCCAGACTTCTCAAGCATCTGCGACAAATGGCCTCCCCCCCTCTGATAACGCAGGTACCTGCAAAGCCTCCAATTCTCTTCTGTTGTCAGAGCTACAAAGAGAGAACTCATTTGAGCTGGCCTTTGCTGGCAACAGCCAACTGCTCCAACCTCATTTCTTTGGTGTCAGCGTGTCACCGGTGTCCTCAGCAGCTCACCTCCTAGACACTCACCTGTATATCAGCAGCAACGTCTCTCCGGTCGGCACCACCTTCTCTCAGCAACAGAGTTTCTCTGCTCAGTCTCCGAGCTACGATGCTGTCGCTTTGCAGCACGGGGATTGTGAGATGGAGGACTTGACTTCCAACCAGCTAGGGAAGTTTGTCCTGGTCAAATGAGAGCTCTGGCTGCTACAGCTCACGCTGCTCTTTTGACAAAGAACTTGCACCACTGTTCCATGGCATGCATAGGTCCGTGGCTGGCTGGTGTTGTGTGGATGAGTGACTCTCAGAAGCAATAAATTTTGAAGTATGTGAAGAAGCTGTCTGGCTCCGAAAGCTAGCAACTTTATAGAACTGAAACAAGCAATATGTATGTCTTTTTGCTTCTACTATTCTTGCACTGAACAAATATGAATAGAAACTTTTTTTTTTTTTTTTTTTAAAAGGAAAAATAATGATGGGGGAAGATGGGTGGGGCATTTGTGGGGACAGGGAGGGATGTGGTTGGGGAAGAAGTCTTCGGTACTGTACTCAAGTCAGACCAATACAGCTCTGCTGTTATGCAAGATTAGCAGCTGTCGGTAGTGGTGACACAGCAGGGAGAGGCTTTTCAAAGAAGGGACCAGAGCCTCCCTCTTTCACAATATTCATTTATGGGTTTGTGAAGATGATTACCTCTTTTAAAGAAAATAAACAGAAAACCAGTGGCATGCAACATTATGCATTCATAGAAGACAAAAATGGAAGCATTGCCATTTGTGGGGTTGTTTTTTTTTTTCCTCCTGTTAACACTCATTTTGTTTTAAAGGAACCAACATCCCCATTCCGCATCTCCCAGATATGTATACTTTAAATGAAAACTGTGAACTTTCTGCTTGATATGTCAGCTAGAAAACCTTTTTTTTTTTTTTTTTTTTTTAAGAAAAAGAAAAGCCAACAACCAAACAGCATTCTAATTAGCACAGAAGCAAGTAATCTCTTGAAAATGCATCCTTTGATATCAGGATGTAAATTGCAGACTGTCTGGTGTTCTGCAGGGCTGGGGTGTGTGTGTGTGTGTGTGTGTGTGTGTGTGTAAGCACATGCACACATGCATGTATTCTGTTGGTCTAAATAATCTTTTGGTCTCTTTTGATAAATGCTGAGTTTTTTTGTATTCCTGCAGAGGCACCGAGGAGGGAGCTCTTATTACCGGTGGGGTGATGGGAAGCATTTTCCTTTTAAAAAGCCCTCCTGGAGATTGCCTACAGAGTTGTCTGAAGGGTATTTCTTAGCGCTGCACATTGTTATTTCCGCTGCTAATTATGTTTTTATGCATTTCATTATCAGGGTCCAAATAGAACTGACTCTTGGGGAAATGTGCAATATTGAGGTTATAATTATATACTGACAAAGACAAAAGGAATAGGCTAGAACAGAATTCTGCTTTAACGGAGTACAGCTATTTCTGAACAAAACTGTATTAAAAGCAAGTAAAACAGCACAATCTTTGGGTGTTTGTTTTTGGCTGGTTTGTTTTTAGCATATTAGCAAAATGAGGTTTTGGATTAGGTAGGTTTTTTTTTTTTTTGTATGGTTTTTAATGCTGTATATGTATATAAATAGGAAGCAGAAAACTATGTAACACTAGTTATTTTTTATATTTTGTAATAAGCTTCTATTGTGTTTCTGGTATAACCCCAGCTCCCTCCCAAGGCAGAGCATGACTTCTGTTGCTGTCAATAGAAGATGTGCTTAGGTGTAGAGGGGAGCCCAAGCCATGCCCTTACAGCAGTGAGTAGGGCAGGGTGTTCCAGCTTTAGAAGCAGGTGAGCAAACAGTGAGCCAGTTCAGCTGGAAGTTGCATTCAGGAAATAGCTGCATTTTGTCTAAATGCTTCAAGGACCCATCTCCCTCGTGTGACACAGGGTGCCTTCAAGTTACCTTGGCTTCGTGCAACCTGCAGTATTACGCATTTACAAATAATATAGATACCTGTTTTTTGTTTTTTTTTTTTGCTTGTTTGTTTGTTTTTTAATTAAAAAAAAGCCAAAGATTGACCAGATTAATTAATGGGAGTAGGAATGGCTGAAGATGTCACGTGGCTCTGTCTGTGGCTCTCCATAAACAACCTCTTTATCTGTGTGTAGTATCAGTGTGTCTATACTGGTGCATCTCCAGTTTGCTGCTGCAGCTACGTGGTCTGGAAGCTTCAACACGAGAGAAAATTGCTTGAGTAGAATATCTGAATGAGCGGTGCCTTGCAGCAGAGAAAACACCAAAGTCTCACTTTAAATTATAGTGATTTAAAAACAAAAAAAGCAAACAATAACAAAAAAAAAACCCAACCAAATGAACATGGAGATGGCTGGAGAGGTGGGTGAGAAGAAGCCAGAACGTCACAAAGCAGCAACTTTGCCTTCAGTTTTGTAAGGGGTAGCGCACAGACTGAAAACACAGATTTTTTTCCTCTTTGATATTTGTTCTGTTTAAATGCCATGGATCAAAAGGCCACAGATTCTTTTGTTTCCTGTCCTAAGCAATGACAAGCACTTTACTTTCATAGTATTTTTTTTTTTTTTTCCAATTGCTGTAGAACCTCTTTGGATTTCTTGCTGGAGCAGAAAGAGGTCATTTTAAAAAGTTTGGGTTTTGGTGGTTTTTTTGTTTGTTTTGTAGATATCTTGACAGTGCTGTTCTGCAGACTGCAATGCAATAGGGTATTTAAAGACACTACATGATTGGTTTAATTAAGATGTATAGTTTATTTTTTATCATGACTGAACAATCATTTTATTTCTTATGTTAAAATGAGAGATGTACACCAAAATGATTAGTCTGTGTTTTATTTAATATTTAAATAAAAAATGTTTTAAAATCGCTGTCTTGCATATGGTTGGATGGAGTTCTTTCTCCTGCTGCTCTCTACACTGCAGCAGGAGCTCCAGCTCTGTGTAGTTAAGATTCATTTTAAAGCTTGAGTCCACAGGACATTACTGGCACTGGACATTACTGGCACTTCCTATTATGTACTAAATGAAGAGGAATGGCTGGCTCAAAAATCTGATAATGGGATATTGAGCCTTTCACTGGTAGGCAATCTGTCTGAATCTAACCCAAGTCTGTAGTAATCGGGTTATAAAATCTGACAGCTAGAGAGGTCTATGGAGTGAAAATGGTCAAGCATAGTTTAGTCATTACCAGATGAGCAATCCATCCGTGTCACCTTCATCTAAAAGAGGCCTCAGCCAGATTAAGGCACTGAGGGGGGAAAAAACTACAGCAAGGGAAGCAGAGGTTCTGGGGATGATGGCATTTCTCCTTCCAGCTGCAAAGACAAGTGCAGGGGTACCTGCTGCAGCCAGGCTGTGCCCCGCATTGCCTTTGCAGCAGGCTGCCTACTTGCAGGCTGCAGCACGGATGCACTCAACAGACTAAAACTGAAAAACCTCCTGACTTAAATAGAAGATCAGTCTGCTCCCACAGGAGGTGAGAAAGCAGAGTTAGGAAGCTCACAGGTACTGTCAGAGAGGTGGCTGTTCTGCATGTGTTTTCCTAGGGTTGTGTTTTCTGCGTGGCTGCATCCAAAGTGAGGATTTTCACAACTATGGAAAAACAACAGAGATGCTTTTAATTACTTCTGCCTTGCTTTTATTATGACCCGGCTTAAGAACTACACCAGCTGCTATTTTCACAAGGTTCTCAGGGCTATTTTAAACCCCGGCAATTCTGTGAGTTCTTAGAATGTTGCTTAATGGACAAAAATCAATGCAATTCCACCAGCTTGTGCCAACATAACTGACCCTTGGGTATAGAAGGATCTGACAGCATCGTGATTTCTTGGAAATGGCAGGGAAAATCAGAACAAAGAAAACGTGGAACTCTGGACTCAGTTTCCATGTGTATACAGTTTCACTCTCGGTGCTTTAGTCACCGTCTTCCAGCCTTTCCTCTGACATTTGTCTCTGATCCTGCTTACCATGTTTGGTTTTGTCCTCAATATCTCTCCAGATGCTGCACTGCTTTGCTTCATTTCTCACAATACAACTCCATACCTAGTGTTTTCCTCTCTTTTCTTGTCTGGAATTGATGTTTTGTTCCCCCTCTTTCAGGTGGAGCTTTAACACAGCCCCTAAAGTGAATGACCAAACCTTGTTGTTTTGTTTTCTGTGGTTTTTGTTTGTTTAAAGGAAGTGCTTGGAGCTGGCAGGAGATGCCAGGCTGGTAGCAATGAAAAACACAGGCTGCTTTTTCATAGAGCAAGTCGAGCACAAGTTGCAAGCCCAGTCCTTTGGTGCCATTGTGATCCGGCCACAGGAGACAGAAGCTCCCCTGCCCCTCTCCTCCTGCCCACTGCCAGGTGAAGCACGATCCATCCCAGAGCCACCACCTTCCTGTTGGCTGTGCTGTAGGAGGAAGTTTTTCACGCAGAGGGTGGTGACACTGGAACAGGTTGCCCAAGGTGGTTATGGATGCCCCATGCAGCTCCCTTGAATGGAAGCATTCAAGGCCAGGCTGGATGTGGCTCTGGGCAGCCTGGTCTGGTGGTTAGCAGCCCTGCACATAGCAGGAGGGTGGAAACTACATGATCATTGTGGTCCTTTTCAACCCAGGCCAATCTGTGACTCTATTATTCTATGATCCTGGCCTGTGTCAGCTGGAAAAGGAGATGTATCAGAAAGGAGAGCAGCTGAGCTCACAAAATGTTGGTACATGAGATGGAAAGCGATCGGTGCTTCCGTTTCACTCATCCTGAAAAGTGAGAATAAGGCACACCTCATGCAATGAAGGAGAATTAATTTAAGAACTAACAGAAGGAAATGTGTGCCTCAGGAGGACACTGCTTCAAGTATGGCTGCTGGCTTATTTCATGGCTGCTAACTACTTTCAGCGGTGACAGTTAAATCAATGATAAAGATAATCCACTGTCATGGTTTATGGATTTAGCAGTGCATCTGTGCGAGATCAAGAAAGGGCTGGTCTTTGGTACAGCCTGCCAGGGGCACGATGGATAGATTTTTGGGACAGAAATGCCTTTCTCCCAAGGCATCAGATATTAGTGCGTGCCAAAGGCAAAATGTTCACACAGGGTAAACAGACTTGACCATCACCTGCAATATATTCTGGCTTCTTAATATACATTTTATGTCATATATAACGTATTAAGCAGTGTCAGTGCCCCAGACCAAAAGCACAGCTACTCAGCTCATTTTAGAGGCAGGCTCCTAGGATAAGGGCAAGTACAGTGCAATCTCTCTGTGGTATTACCAGCCCAGTAGCAAGTGAACTGCAGTTTAAGGAATTGACTGGCATCTGAGTCACTGTGTTCAACAGCTGCAGATGGGTGAAGCCTCCAAGGATTTGGCTAACTCTTTTTGGAATTCTTTTGTATTTCTGGCCTCCAGAGTGCCCTGTGACAATGAGTATCATCATTCAATTTTCCATGGTGTGAAAGACTTTTTGTATTAGGCCTGCAGTCCAACAGATTGGCTTGTGCTCCCTTTCTCTTGCTGTAGAAGATACAAAGAGTAAAGTTCTCCTGTTCACATCTGCATGCTGCTCATAAGCTGATGGGATGTCTTGTATCCATCCCATCACTGTAGAGGTGAGGTGACCAAGCAGAATACTGCTATACTTAGTTTGTCTGTCCATGGAAACGCTGCACATTTCTGTGCAATGTTTTCTGTATCCTCACCAATTCTTCATCCTCTAGATGTGCAGAGCTGCCCCTGTTTCTGGGGCATGAACACAGAAGAAGTGGTCTTGTTTGTATTCCTTGCTCATTCTACACTAATCCCCAAAGCTCTTATTTGCCTTGCTGACAACTGTTGAGCAGAGAGCTGGAGTTTTCAGCAAACTTAGTGACACTGAGCTTTCCAGCCAGGCATGTTGATTTAGAGTCCCTGATGGACTTTTTATGGCTAAGGTTGGTGTTCTCTGTGGCACTCGCTTTGTATTTACTGCTGGTGTACCGCAGAAGTCATTTTCTTAACTTTATATTCAATTTTCTGAGCTCATTGCATCTCCTTGCAATTGGATCACTTATGGCTGCACCAAGTTGCCCAAGTCTTGATACTAATGGGCTGCTGATACTCGACCTCTCGCTCTGCAGAATGTGCTCCCTCTTGTTGTATCACATTTATCTGCAAATCCAGCTATTCTGCTCTTCGTGACAGTTTGTATCATTTGCCTTTTACGGATGCCCAGCTTTCCAGCCCACAGGTCTCTGGATGACCTCTAAAAGCCCTTTTTAAAAATGAATGTGACGTTTCACCTTCAGCTCCCGTGGTGCCACGCCATTTCAACAGCTATTGTGGTATTGTACTGAATAGGTCAGCGGTTTCAAGTCTTTGTTCCCTCAGAGTTCTCAAGTGAAAGTGTCTGCTCTTAGTGATCTGCTACTGTTATTTTTATTGCTTTATCCCCAGATTTGCTATACTGACACTTCAATTTTGGACAGTTTCTGAAGCCCATTGCCTGTGGAGCCAGCTACCGGTGTGGGGCAGAGTGGCCCACCCTCAAATGGATGAATGAGTCTGGACCAAGCCATGCAGAGGATGTTGTCCTTTTTGCTCCTTGCAAGCGGGTAACAAAGCAGTGACAAGGGTGGACATCAGTGAGTACCTGGGTCAGTGCCATGGTCCCTGCGTTATGCACTTACAAGATCACAGAATCATGTAGTAGGAAAGGACACACAGGGATCATTAAGACCAGCTCCGGGCTCCACACAGCACTACCCTAACCCAATCCTATATCTGAGAGCACTGTCCAGATGCTCCTTGAACTCCAGCCCTGGTGGCCGTGCCCACAGCCCCGTGCATCCCGTTCCCCGCCCACCGCCCTGTGGTGCAGCCCCTTTCCCTGACCCCCAGCTGCCCTCCCCTGACGCAGCTCCATGCCGTTCCCTTGGGCCCTGTCGCTGTCACCAGAGGGACCAAATGGCAAGGCCTTTCTCCCTTTGCTGTGTTTAAAGAGAAGCAGACTAAATTTATGGATTGCTTCCTCAGTGATGTGAGCTGGCTTTGCTAAATCAAAATGAATACAGCAGCACTGCTTTATGATACGGATGCAATTAGCAGCACATTAAAGCTCTGACCTCCACAGCCAGACAATCTCATCCTTTGTTTCTTCAGCCACTGAGGCAGCAAAATTAGATGCATTGTTTTTGACAGAGCTTTTCCCAAACCAGGCTAGGTCTCATCTTTACTTCTCCTGTGCCGTACTTCCCTATTCACTCACACTGGTCAGCTGCTTTTTGACAGTCCTTGGCTTATTTTGTGACAACTGAAATATCTTCTAGCTGTAGGTGTCCCTGTTCATTGCAGAGGAGTTGGACCAAATGACCTTTAAATGTCCCTTCCAACTCAAATGATTCTATGATTCTACGATCTTAGTCAAGAGCCAGGAAGGATCATAGAAGTCCTAACCAAGAGCTCACTGCTATCCTTGCTGATCATTTACGTCACTTTTGCTGGTAAAGGAGCCTTGTGATTTGGTGAGCTCTTCTACACCATCAGGAGGCATGTAGTGCTCTTGACTGTCACGCAGCCCATGTCCCAGCCACCTGCTGCACTTGCAAACAGATCTGCTCTGGCAAGCTGCATCTTGCAAAAATTGAGCTTTAAACGCCTATGTCCATGCCAGATAGAAAACAAAGATAATAAGCAAACCATCTGATTTTAGCTGCTTTGTCCTGCTTGCCTAACATCTGCAAGCAGCTCTTCTATTTGCTGGGATATATAGCCACACTTTCTGTTCTTTGCACTGAGTGAAGATAGTTGTGCAGGGGTGAACTAAGCATCTTATTTGTTTTTCCTGCTCACCCCTTGTATGGTAGCAAATGCTTTTACTGAAAACATAAAATTAGATTTCCAGGAACACT